TCTAGACGTTATGCTGCTCGGAATAAGAACCCGAGAGCCGAGCATAATCTAGACGTTATGCTGCTCGAAATATGAACCCGAGAGCTGAGCATAATCTAGACGTTATGCTGCTCGGAATAAGAACCCGAGAGCCGAGCATAATCTAGACGTTCTGCTGCTCGGAATAGAACCCGAGAGCCGAGCATAATCTAGACGTTATGCTGCTCGGAATAAGAACCCGAGAGTCACATTTCTGCAAAAACTCGCTCCGCACTTTGAGGTCGTGGGTACACTATAAGAATAGCGAATAAATCCCACAATTTGGTCAGACAAGATGAGTCCAATATTTATCGGTGCATGCTGTTGAATAGCTGTCTTTCCTCTTGTCCAGCGATTCTCAATCTGTGGTCTGAAATCTCCCTTAGTTACGAATAGGAAGCGGCAGCATGGTGCATATATTCCATTGTTGTCCGACGATATAACATATAATAATAATTCAGGTGGTGCGCGAGCAGAAATGTTTGAGAACCACTGCTCTAGTTTATCAGTTTGAAACTAGGGACGGCTTTGCGCCGAATGCCTTTTGTGTAGGTTTGCACGAAATTCCGGAACATATAAACAAACTTACTTTTAGGGTGTATTTGGCGTTTACTAAGAAATAGTCATCCATCTCACTGTCAACGTTTCTGCGTTGTCTGGTCGTTGAATCATCGTTCTCACTCAACATTGACACCGAGATAAAACCTCCTATAAAAAAAGACAAATAACTCAAATCAGCCAATTGTTTTCGTGAAGCTGATTGGATAATTTAACCATTAATATAACGCGCGATTAAACTTCGTTGTGCATCTCCTAAAACTATATTCAGTTTTTTCAGGACAGCTTAAACACGTGTTAAGTAGTAATGTTTTAATTCGTAGTTTTACAAGTCCTTCGTTAGTTGTCTAACAGAAATTGTTTTACCTGCAGAGTAAAGACGACCGTTAACAAAATCCTGCACTTCATTCGATAAAAGATCAATGTCATGTACATCATTGAAGTCAACTCTAGCACCACCTAGTTTCATTATGTCTTCATCACGAAATGTTTTGTGGACAAGATTGTGCTGGGTTCCGGATTGTTGGTAGGTTTCTTGACTTTTAGATGAAATGAAAAGATAAACAGGTTGTTAGGGAACTAAAGTTTAGTTGGTTACAGAATGAGTAGGAAGCGATATGTCAACATAATAAGCTTTACAATTTCTTGTTACGATATTTTAAATACTTACCTAAAATGAATATTGTGATCTCCCAAGACCGAGCTCTCAAAATCACTATCTATCTGCTGTATTCTAGTTGAAATGATACTTGCTAGATGGCGCTTGAAGTTTCTCGAGTTTTCATCGATGTCCTGTTCTATAAATCTGATCTCGGGTATAGCTCCGTCAGCCAGCTGAATAATCTGGAATGGTAGTTCATAGGGAACAAGTGGGTTTCCTTCTATTCAGAAAATAAACACAGTTCGTTTTACAAAACATATAACTTTTGTAGACATTTTTGTTACAAAATATATAAATCTTAGACCAAGTCGTAATGAGAACACGCATCAGAATTACTACGGTCCCCTGGAATATGAATGTGAGCACCTCCGAAACCAGTATTATTGTACGAAATACCTACAATATTTCCACACCCATGATATGCATAACTCTAATGAAGATGAACCCTTTCGAACATGGAAAAGGGAAAGCTACCATATACTGCTGAACTTATTTCTACTCAATTTAGTACTTGTGTTCTATTACAGATTGATCTTATAAACGCCACCTCTATGATAAGACTGCTCATTTTATTATGCCAGGGCACTATCAAAACGTCGAATCTGTAGATATGTGCGTATTACTAAAGGGATCTGTGAAAATTAACAATCCTACTTTATTTAGCTATCATAACCATAATCCTCACTCAACTGATCTACAATCTACTTTATTTAGCTATCAGAACCATAATCCTCACTCAACTGATCTACAATCTACTTTATTCAGTTATCAGAACCATAATCCTCATTCAACTGATCTACATTTCTACTTTCTTTAGCTATCAGAACCACAATCCTAACTCAACTGATCTACAATCTACTTTATTCAGTTATCAGAACCATAATCCTCATTCAACTGATCTACATTTCTACTTTCTTTAGCTATCAGAACCACAATCCTAACTCAACTGATCTACATTCCTACTTTATTTAGTTATCATAACCATAATCCTCACTCAACAGATCTACATTCTACTTTATTTAGCTATCAGAACCACAATCCTCACTCAACTGATCTACATTCTACTTTATTTAGCTATCAGAACCACAATCATCACTCAACTGATCTACATTCCTACTTTATTTAGCTATCAGAACCACAATCATCACTCAACTGATATACATTTCTACTTTATTTAGCTATCAGAACCACAATCATCACTCAACTGATCTACATTCTACTTTATTTAGCTATCAGAACCACAATCATCACTCAACTGATCTACATTTCTACTTTATTTAGCTATCAGAACCATAATCCTCACTCAACTGGTCTGATAATCTCTTCTTTTTCCATCAAACTTTATTTTTACATTTCTATAATTCTATTATTCTAAATTATAAATAAGAATGATTTTTTTCCAGAACAAACACAGAATATTTATACAAAAGTATTTCACTATCTTGTTTGTTTGTTTTGAATTTCGCGCAAAGCTACACTAGGGATATCTGCGCTAGCCGTCCCTAATATAGCAGTGTGAGACTAGAGGGAAGGCAGCCAGTCATCATCACCCGCCACCAACTCTTAGGCACTCTTTTACCAACGCATAGTGGGATTGACTGACACATTATAACGCTCCCACGGCTAAAAAGGCCGAACATGTTTGGTGTGACGGGGATTTGAACCCGCGACCCTCAGATTGTGAGTCGATCGCCCTAAACACCTGGCCATACCGGGCCATCTTGTGAGTTAATGCATCATGGCAAGAAGAACTGATCTAGCTTTCGTTACGTCCAATTTCCATGAAATAGGCTTTCACATTTCACAATATTAGAGTGTAGTTCTTTACAACTTGAGGACTCAAACTGTCCTTTATTTTCTAGAACCAATTACAGATAAATTTTCATCTGACGACAAAGTTTTCCCCTTCTCTCCTCCAGTGGCTCAGCGATACGTTTGAAGGCTCATACGACTAAGAACCGGCTTTAGATACTCGTGGTAAGCACGGCACAAATAGCCTTTTACTTAGGTTTGAGTTTAACAAAAAAATAATCTGACCAGAAGAGAAACTGAAACCTGACATTAGCTTCATTGTAAATTAGAGAATTCTAAAGTATAGAGGTCGTAGAGAGTAAGTTTTTTAAGATATAGTTTTGTAAGGACTTATTAAATTCATGAAAGTGTGGTTTCCAGTAATCGTTTGCAAACAAAATAAAACAGCTTATTTTTCATGCAACCCTAGTTCCGTATCACACAGAGTGCCATAATTTATTCATATTTTCCTTACCTGTATTGTTGCCAATAGGTGGCTCTTGTTGACCATCACGCCTGAATAATAATAAATACAAAATAATAATTAATTTTTCTTCGCCTACATGCATATTTGATAGTTATTAATTTTCGATTACATTATTTAAAATATGTTTCACTGCAAAAATTATAAGTTTCTATCTATTTCTTAATTATCAAAAGCGCGTTGATTTGGATAAACTTTAAAAATATGCTAATTAACAGAGGTTTTATTTCTTTAAATAAAATCATACATGTTTTAAATTATTCAACTCAAATATTACTTTTAATTAGTACCTCTTAAAAACAATGTGGCTATCACAGCTAATAGCTTTCACTGACTCTTTTATAAACATTGTTTATTGTAATTGTATTAGAAACAGCTTATTAATCACACTGATATACTTGCATAGTGATAATCGAATGAAAATATAAAGAAATATCTGGCGATATTAAAATGCTTACATTTGACCTTCAGGATGAATCTCAACGTCTATTCCACTCGCATGAATTATATACTTCAAGCCTTTCTTACCGTAATTACTCTTGTCGTCGTCTAGAAATATAAAACCACAAACTATGAAATTAAAAAAAACACATTGAAGTTACTGTAGTTTAACGTCCTAAGAAGGAATGCGATTCTTTCTCTATTCTTTTTTTATTCCACTAAGTGTTAAAACGTGGTATGGAATTATTTGCTCTCATTTCGGTGTAAATGTTTTTTCTTGTGTAAACTTTCAATAAAGAAAAAATAACCTACTAATTAATTTATTTATTAGATATACCACCTGGTGAGCGTTAGATAACATTACTAAAGTACTATATATCATTTCATGCACTTAGAGGTATACCAGTTATTGTTTTTGTCTCAATCTACGAACTAGAAATTCTAGCTTAGCCAAGTAACTTAGTCGCTGAAGGTGTCTTTAGAATAAAATATCCAACATAATATATTTTTTTCAAAATTAACTAAAACTTTGTTACTCTTGTTATTCTGCTAGTTTAAGGTTTATGTAAAACAAATCGTCATTCGTCTGAGATGTATATTTTTCAACGAAAACAACCACATAAAACTAACACTCAAACTTACAGCCTAAACAGCGGACAACCAAGTTGGCTGTAACTTTTATTTCTCCTATTTGTCCCCAGAGGTCGCTAGACGCTTGATATTGGTAGACGGATGCTTCAGAAGGCTGAAATTATATGGAATAAATAAAATAGGAAGATATTTTAATTTAAAGTTCGTGAAAACATTTCCTGGAAAATACACCACGTGGTAAAACAGTTATAAGAGCTCAAATGATGAGAATAACAATCTCATTATCATCCAGGTATTTCTAATAATAGTAAATGAGTTTAAAACATTTTCAACTGGCACTGATATTTAGGCGCCAAAATGATTTTAAATAACTTGAAAAATACGTAAAGTTTGTCATTAGATTTCCTGTGTCATTTCCTATTCTTACTCTGGTTATTCCTAAAATTATATTTCAAGATGTATTTTTTTCTCAAGTTTATCATATGTGCTTTTTTTATTACTCGAGTAGAAATTTAAATAAGGTAAAATATAATGAAATTAATCGTTTTGCTTGTTTTTTATATCTGTTAAATTTGGACA